CAGATGGCAACAGTATCAGACACAAACCACATTGCATTTCTAATTGTATAAGGTCCTTGTAATGTGGTTGTTTCTGTATAACTTGGCAATCAGAGGACTGCACTGCTTGCTGTTAGTTACTCAGTTATCTAACCTATGTCCAGTATGTTGACTCTGCTCAGATCAGATGGTGATAAAACAGCCAAAACAAACGCTTGGACACACACAGCGATATAACGCCAATGCATTGCTGTCCAGGATTTGCAAAATTCGGCATTCAATTTCATTGAAACACCTCCACCCCAAGCACTCTCCTCCAAAACTCCCTGGGAGTAAATTTTCCAGAGAAAATCTACAGTGAACAATATATCTTTAAACCAGCACACCTTTAAACAAGGAAGTTGTATCTGTACAAAAGCAGCAGCCAAAGGTATAAACCAAAGCACTTTGCATATACAGTCCTGCCAACAGCTACAGAGAACAATACAAACAGAAGAAATGTTCGAAACAGTAAGTTCATAAGTCAAGCTTCTCCCAGAATTGGAGCCAATAGAAAAGAGTTTTATATTTTGAAACAAAGCAACAGAATTGCTGCTGAAAAGGCAAAAAGAACTTGGGATAAAATACCAACTGCAGTGCTGATCAAGAACAGTATTGTACAAAGCAAGATATTCAGAAAGAGCATCCATCTCCCACAGCTAGAACACAAAACAGTCACCTCAACCACAGCCGTACCCATGTCAGGGCATCTGACTACAATAGCAATAACAGACAAATCTGTTTCTCAGTGCAATACCTAACATAGTGAGTGAGTTCATTTGGAGGGAGTGAGTGCATATATATGGGACACTGCTGTTCGCAATTCGCTGTCGCATTTTGCCCACAAAATATACAGTCAATTCACTTTCCAGTAATATTCTGTGAGGCTCTTTGAGACGTCTCGAAGGCATGATAAAGCACTATATCAAATGCAAGGATTATTATCATCATACATCTCCAGATTGAATGCAATCTCCCAAAAAGTTAAGAATGTAAGAATTTATGACACAGTCGTCAAATCCAGCAATCTGAGTAGCTTGTACAGTAAGTGTCATCTCCCACGCTGAAAAAAGGAAGAAAGCATTCTTAGAACAGAAACATTATAGCACGAAAAGCTGCCATTTGCTCCATCTGCCTCAGCTAGTTCCTTGAGTGCATACGCCAATCACTGTTCTCTGATTCCCCTTCCCCAAACTCTTTTATACTGTTCTTCAAAGATTAATCGATTTACCTTTTAAATGTTATGGTCTCAGTCTGCAGAGCCACTTGTGACAAACCATTCAATGTTCTTATAACGAAGTACGAACATTCTTGTATCTTCCCTTTAATTTGTTAATTTGTGTGATTTATGAATCATATAGTGCTCCATGAATACAATGTATGTACATCGTGACAACACCCTGCTTAGACTATGGGGAGGGAACAGCACTACTGATCAAAAAAAAATCATACTTCTGTCTTGTGACAGGAAGAGACATGGATAAAGCAAAGCAAAATCTTTGCTGCAAGTTATTGCAAGGTGACAGCCACACAAGCAGGTATATTCTGGTGCACAGTTAAATATCAGCTCAGTATCTACCCACAACACAAACCAACATAAGACATGTAAAGCTTTAACACCAGAATGATTAAGATGCAAAGGCATGCTACGTATCAACAATGCAGCACACATTTATATTGATTCTTTAGTAATTCTTCATTAACCTGTTACCCTGCAGCAACAACAACAAATTACGTCTGTATAGCATCTTTCACATTGGGAGACTATCACAGGGGTTGCAAGCCAAGGCCTTAACAAGTAGGTTGGTTCCAGGGAGACAAAAAGCGGGAAGCTTGCTCTCAATGGCAAGCTATGCGGCTTTAGCTGGTAGCTGGTCTTCAGCAATACTCCAACGCAAACTCTGTGGTCCCCAAGCCTTGATAAGCAGGGGGGGGGGGGGGGGGGGGGGGGGTGTCGCCCTTACCCAGATTTTTACACCAACAGATAAAATTGAACAATTTGTGTTACGTTTGTACCAGGATTAAGAGGCTCCCTGCCATTAGGGCAAATGGCTCCCTATGCCAGGAATGGCAAACTCCATGACCCACAGTTACCCCCAAAGTCAGTAACAGCCCCACTCCCACCCCCCTACAGTCAGTAACAGCCCCTCTCCCCACCTCAGTCAGTAACAGTCCCTCTCCCCCCACAGTGAGTAACAGTCCCTCTCCCCCCCAGTCAGTAACAGCCCCACTTCCACCCTCCCACCCCCCTACAGTCAGTAACAGCCCCTCTCCCCACCTCAGTCAGTAACAGCCCCTCTCCCCCCGCAGTGAGTAACAGCCCCTCTCCCCCACCAGTCAGTAACAACCCTCTCCCCCCCACAATCAGTCACAGCCCCTCTCCCCCACAGTCAGTCACAGCCCCTCTCCCCCCAGTCAGTAACAGACCCTCTCCCCGCGGTCAGTTACAGCCCCTCTCCCCCACACAGTCAGTAACAGCCCCTCTCCCCACACAGTCAGTAACAGCCCCTCTCCCCTCACAGTCAGTAACAGCCCCTCTCCCCCACACAGTCAGTAACAGCCCCTCTCCCCCACAGTCAGTAACAGCCCCTCTCCCCCACACAGTCAGTAACAGCCCCTCTCCCCCACACAGTCAGTAACAGCCCCTCTCCCCCACACAGTCAGTAACAGCCCCTCTCCCCCACACAGTCAGTAACAGCCCCTCTCCCCCACACAGTCAGTAACAGCCCCTCTCCCCCACACAGTCAGTAACAGCCCCTCTCCCCCACACAGTCAGTCACAGCCCCTCTCCCCCACACAGTCAGTAACAGCCCCTCTCCCCCACAGTCAGTAACAGCCCCTCTCCCCCACAGTCAGTAACAGCCCATCTCCCCCCACAGTCAGTAACAGCCTCTCTCCCCCCACAGTCAGTAACAGCCCCTCTCCCCCACAGTCAGTAACAGCCCTCTCCCCCACACAGTCAGTAACAGCCCCTCTCCCCCACACAGTCAGTAACAGCCCATCTCCCCCCACAGTCAGTCACAGCCCCTCTCCCCCCTACAGTCAGTAACAGCCCCTCTCCCCCACACAGTCAGTAACAGCCCCTCTCCCCCACACAGTCAGTAACAGCCCCTCTCCCCCACACAGTCAGTAACAGCCCCTCTCCCCCACAGTCAGTAACAGCCCCTCTCCCCCACACAGTCAGTAACAGCCCCTCTCCCCCGCGGTCAGTAACAGCCCCTCTCCCCCACACAGTCAGTAACAGCCCCTCTCCCCCACACAGTCAGTAACAGCCCCTCTCCCCCACACAGTCAGTAACAGCCCCTCTCCCCCACACAGTCAGTAACAGCCCCTCTCCCCCACACAGTCAGTCACAGCCCCTCTCCCCCACACAGTCAGTAACAGCCCCTCTCCCCCGCGGTCAGTAACAGCCCCTCTCCCCCACACAGTCAGTAACAGCCCCTCTCCCCCACACAGTCAGTAACAGCCCTCTCCCCCACACAGTCAGTAACAGCCCCTCTCCCCCACACAGTCAGTAACAGCCCCTCTCCCCCACACAGTCAGTCACAGCCCCTCTCCCCCACACAGTCAGTAACAGAGCCCCTCTCCCCCACACAGTCAGTAACAGAGCCCCTCTCCCCCACACAGTCAGTAACAGCCCTCTCCCCCACACAGTCAGTAACAGCCCCTCTCCCCCACACAGTCAGTCACAGCCCCTCTCCCCCACACAGTCAGTAACAGCCCCTCTCCCCCACACAGTCAGTAACAGAGCCCCTCTCCCCCACACAGTCAGTAACAGCCCCTCTCCCCCACACAGTCAGTAACAGCCCCTCTCCCCCCACAGTCAGTAACAGCCCCTCTCCCCCACACAGTCAGTCACAGCCCCTCTCCCCCACACAGTCAGTAACAGCTCCTCTCCCCCACACAATCAGTAACAGCCCCTCTCCCCCACAGTCAGTAACAGCCCCTCTCCCCCACACAGTCAGTAACAGCCCCTCTCCCCCACACAGTCAGTCACAGCCCCTCTCCCCCACACAGTCAGTCACAGCCCCTCTCCCCCACACAGTCAGTAACAGAGCCCCTCTCCCCACACAGTCAGTAACAGCCCCTCTCCCCCACACAGTCAGTAACAGCCCCTCTCCCCCACACAGTCAGTAACAGCCCCTCTCCCCCACACAGTCAGTAACAGCCCCTCTCCCCCACACAGTCAGTAACAGCCCCTCTCCCCCACACAGTCAGTAACAGCCCCTCTCCCCCACACAGTCAGTCACAGCCCCTCTCCCCCACACAGTCAGTCACAGCCCCTCTCCCCCACACAGTCAGTAACAGCCCCTCTCCCCCCACAGTCAGTAACAGCCCTCTCCCCCCACAGTCAGTAACAGCCCCTCTCCCCCCACAGTCAGTAACAGCTCCTCTCCCCCACACAGTCAGTAACAGCCCCTCTCCCCCCACAGTCAGTAACAGCCCCTCTCCCCCCACAGTCAGTAACAGCCCCTCTCCCCACACAGTCAGTAACAGCCCCTCTCCCCCACACAGTCAGTAACAGCCCCTCTCCCCCCACAGTCAGTAACAGCCCCTCTCCCCCCACAGTCAGTAACAGCCCCTCTCCCCCACACAGTCAGTAACAGCCCCTCTCCCCCCACAGTCAGTAACAGCCCCTCTCCCCCACACAGTCAGTAACAGCCCCTCTCTCCCACACAGTCAGTAACAGCCCCTCTCTCCCACACAGTCAGTAACAGCCCCTCTCCCCCACACAGTCAGTCACAGCCCCTCTCTCCCACACAGTCAGTAACAGCCCCTCTCCCCCACACAGTCAGTAACAGCCCCTCTCCCCCACACAGTCAGTAACAGCCCCTCTCTCCCACACAGTCAGTAACAGCCCCTCTCCCCCACACAGTCAGTCACAGCCCCTCTCTCCCACACAGTCAGTAACAGAGCCCCTCTCCCCCGGGGTCGGGGTCCCGCACGGGCAGCGGTGTCCGATGCCCCTCACGCGGCCTCACCTCTGGCTGCTGCAGTGTGGGGGCCACCCCGGGTCCGGTGGTGGTGGTGGTGGGGAGGGGTGGGGGTGCGGGGGGGGGGTGTCCGGCTCTGGCCCGGGCCCCGCTCACTCGCCGTCTCGCGTCCTCATCGCCTCTGCCGCTCGCGCTGGCTTCGCGCTTCCGGTTTGCCGGGCACCGCACCGGGCGCATGCGCCCCTCTCTCCCTCTCACACTCCTCCCTCCCTCTATCCCTCTCTCCCTCTCACACACACACGCGCGCGCTCGCTGGCCACTCGCCTCCACGCAGGAGGCGTCCCGCGCCGCCTGTTCCCACAGCGCCACCTCCCGGCCGGGGCCGGGGTCGGGTTTGGGGTGACTTGGCAGCCGCTCGCCACCGGCGACTTCACCGCCGGCCGCTGCGAGGCGAGGGCGACCCCTCCCGGCCTGGGTCGGGATGGCACGACGGCTTCTCTCCCCCCCACCCCACCCCACACCCCCCCCCCGCAGCGGGGCCCCGAGCGAGCGAGCGGCGCGTGCGCGTGCGCGACTGTCGTGAAGCGGGGTTAGGTTTGCTTTGCGGCAGCTGTCGGAGCAGAGGCGGGAATGTGAAAGCGGCGGTCGGTCCCGGAGTGAGTGAGTGAGAGAGAGAGGGAGTGAGTGAGGGGCCTCCCCCGGGGTGGGGGGGAGGGGAGGGGTGGTTGTGGGGCTTGAACCCACGGGGCTGAGGACCGGACCAGCGCTGCCGACGGCCTGAATGTCGTGACGCAATGTCCTCAGCTGCTGCTCAACCCCACAGGCTTTGCCGTGTGTTTGTCGCTCCACCGGCAATGCCCTCTCACCTCATCCACCAGAGCTTCACCCCCGGCCCTGGCGGTTGACCAGACTCTAAAGTCTCCTCTTATCTATCTTCTGGAAGGGGAGGGGGGGGGGCGGCCGACGGAGTCTCTCGGATGGGGGTGGGGTGAGTGGGGTCTTAAGACGCTCTTCGAGACGCTATCCGGCCCGAGGGGGTGTGCGCTGTAAATGCAAGTTGTCGTCGTGCTCGTCGTCGTCGTTGTTGTCGTTGTTGTCGTCGTCGTCGTCTCCCCGGCGAAGGGCTTTTTTATTGGAACGTCAGAATTGAGCGCTGACCCACTGTGGTGGTCCGGGTTCCTTCCTCCCTTCCTGAGCCGGACGCAGTATTATTGTCCCCAGCCAACCTGACCCATCGCTGAGCTGAGCTGAGCTGAGCTGTCGTTTGTGGATAAGTGTGGAGATTATTGGGAGTACACAGACTGCTCTGTGAATTGTGAGGAATGTCGGATTCTTCCGAGTCGGCAAAGGTTCAAAGAACAAAATCTGACCATTTCCTGAACCAGCGGTCGGATTATTGTAATAATAATAGTAATAATAATGATGAGGCTGATGCTTGATTTCCTATCGCGGCTTATCACGTCGTCGAGAACGTCTCAAAGCGCTTCACAGAATATACTGTAAAGTGGATTGACTGTATATTTTTATGATTCGTCATCTGTGAATTTCACAAGCCAGAAGTCGCGATTAATGGCGTATTGGGACAAATTCAGTTTGCAGATATCACAAATTAACCTCAATGTTCCAGTCAGTCGTTAAGCGCTCCGAGATGCTGTCCCACATGAAAGGTGCTATATAAATACAAGTTGTTGTTGTCTCTCAGTTCAGTTTTATTGATTTACAGTTGCAGAATGGACCCAGTAATTCTGAGCTTCCAGGACAGCTTACTGCGACGTTCTGACTTCTCCCTGCTCAACCCACCCAACTGGCTCAATGACCATGTCATCAGCTTTGCCTTTGAGTACTTCTCAGCAGAAGAGTACAAGGAGCTGTCTAACAGTGTCTGCTTTATCAGTCCAGAAGTTACTCAGTTCATTAAATGCACGAGTAGTCAGGAGGAGCTGGCCATCTTTTTGGAGCCGCTAACCTTGGTCAGGAAAAGCCTGGTCTTTCTGGCCGTCAATGACAACGCAATGCAGGTGGCCGGGGGAACCCATTGGAGCTTACTTGTCTATAGTAGATCCAGGAACTGCTTCAGTCACTACGATTCCTGCCACAGCATGAACTCAAAGCACGCCCGGCAGATCGTGGAAAAGCTGCAACCCTTCCTGGGGACCAGGTCTAAAGTGCCTTTTGTGGAGGAGTCAGCACCGGTACAGCAGAATTCTGATGGCTACCATGTTTACCTGCAGAACCAATCGCTGCACTTGTCAACAATGATTTAGGAAACACTTAGAATTTGGACTCGATAAAGCATGATAAAAAATGCACTTTGGTGTTTTTCTGTTTCTGAGTGTTTGCCTCTTCCACAGCTGTCCTGGACAGCAATGAGCGGCTCACGGCGGAGGAGATGGATGAAAGGCGACGTCAGAACATTGCCTACGAGTATCTCTGTCACCTGGAGGAGGCCAAGCGGTGAGTTCTTTCTTCCTGCATTCCTGATGCGATAACTCTGAACCCACCCAGCATTCACCCCGCGTGGTCTGACTGGAGACAGATGGTTTCATAGCAGGAACAAACACCAGCACTTAATGCAATGGGTCGACTTGCTTCCTTTAAGGATTTTGATGGTTCTATTGTTCTGTGGTGCTGGGTGAAGGTTTGGTGTTGACATGCTTCAATGTAAATCAAGAACCCAGTTTCAGTTTATGAATTGGTTCTACACCAGAGTAAAACTGGTTTCCGGGTGCTGCAAAGTGGTTTTAGACACTGATCTGTTACACCTAGAACAAAGCCCGATAAGGGACCATAAGCAAAGTGTTAAAGAGGGGATGGAGGGGCAAGGCGGAAGGATTGGGGGAGAGTTTTCCAAAGCTTCAGGGCATCTTTATTCAGTTATGACCTCCAATTATCACAGCACTGATTAATGATAGGAGATTAAGACTGGGATTACTGGTGATGGATTACTGGTGACTGAGATTACTAAAGGTCCTCATGTCTTGTCCATAGGCCACTTGGGTCAAATGCGTTTCGCCCCCGAAGTTTTGGAAGGTACATCCCTGAACAATAAATCACGTAGAATGGGGATGCGGGGATTCAGCACAAAGTGTATTGCGGTGGGGCGAGGGTAGAGAAAAACAAAACATCAGTATCGCAGCAAAAGTGTTTTTGCAATTTCTAGCCTTTATCAACGTCCCTTGGTCACGAGAGAAGGACGCAGAAAAGGGTGGTATGTAACTGAGCTCTGCAGTTATCTTAAGAATATGGAGTCACTCTTGCATTTCAGCAATCCCGTATCACTCTTGTGCTCTCAATGTTAATGGCTTTCAATAGCTGCCGCCATTCCTACACCAACCGCTCGCTTCCTCCCTCCACTGTCACCGAGAGCTGCGTGGTTACAGAAGAAGGAAGTGGAGACTGACGTGTCTGCAGAGAGACTACGTGATGAGAAGTGAATCAGACTCTGCAGCAGTCGCTCGCTCGCTGTCATTGAGTGAAGGCACTGAATCGAGACAAGCCTCGGGCTGCCCAGCAATTCCCAGAATCTGTACAACACCTGAAACTTTGATTACCTTGGCCTTAAAATTGCATTTCTCTCATTGTTCCTCTGAACAGAGAGTTAGCGTAGTTAATCCTGGATGTATTGAAGGAATGACAATGTTGGAGAAGGTAGCAGGGGTCATAGCATGAATTATCGGGTTTAAAAGGTAGATTAGGGTCGAACAAGACACCAAGGTTCCGTACTGGCTCAGTGCATCCGTGAACATTTAATTGGTGAAAATTAGCTCTCAACCAGGACTTGATGTCTGAGAGACATTCCGTCAAGACAGGAGTGGTCCTAGAGTCGATGGTGGAGGCAGAGAAGTAGAGTTGGGTGTTATCCAATTACATGCATAAGTTAACCCCATGCCTGTGGATGATATCACGGAGCAGGAGCATGTAAATATTAAAAAGGAGAGGACCAATGACAGAGCCATAGGGAATGTCCCACGTCACGGTGCTAGGGCTGGAGGAGAAGCCATTTGTGAATGCCCTCAGCCGTCTACATGCTATTTCCAGCTCTCTGGGATGCTATCCTGCGTGAGCGTTGCTATATAAATGCAAGTTGTTGTTGTTAAACTGAAAAGCTCAGCATCACCCACCCGCATTTCTTAATTTCTCTCAGCCTCACTCCTGCTCTTTCCCAACTTGGGCTGGTGCCCTGAGCTGTAGGCGACAGGCTCCTCACCTGAGTTTTTGGATAAATAAAGCTGGTGTCGGATCTTTGCAAACGGTAGACTGCATCAATAGAACAGCCGGTATGACATTACCTGAAGAACGTGACTTAGAGAAGTACCCAATGCGTGAAAATAGCAGTCTCATAGAAACACTCTACCTCCCGTGGGAATATTTCCCTCTAGACATAGTTAAACCTGGTGATGCCTTTAAAACCGGTCTTGCCTCCCAGTTTTCTTTAATGAGAGCCTGGGAGTCTAACATTTTTTCAAGATGTGTATTTATTGCTGTTTTAAGCTTCAGGAATGTTTCTGCCAGTTTGAAGCTGAATGTGACTGGCTGCGAGGCTGGGGTGGGGCTCACTGGTGAGATCATGGGTGAGTCTTGATCTTGGGTTTGGCAGTAAGGGAGGGTTCTGCTCAGGCTTCAGAGTAAGCACAATCAGTACAAAGTGAGGGGAGGGGCGAGGAACCCAGCCTTCATTGAACCAATGAAGCTTATAGCTGCAGAGCACTAATCACACACCAATCCCTCAGCTCAGAGACTCCACTTCAAATCCTCTCTTGTCCTCATGAATGTCGGAATACGTAGGATGAAAAGACATTCAGTCAGTCTCATTTTCACACCCTCTTTCATGTAGCCGCCACCATCACCATGGAAAAACTGTTCCACTTGTTACCCATCCTGTGCTTAACCTAGTTAAGTCAGAAGCGATATGTTCCCTGTGTTCCCCTCCTGAGTTTTGGCCAGGTGTGACCTATGGTGTTGTCATACCGGGTCAGAAATATATTGAACGAGGTGTTACTAGTTTATCTTGTCCATGCCTCTTAAAGTCTGTGAGTTCATGGTCCCCTAGCACTCCCCACCTCCCCCAACCCCAAGTAGTTGCACCCATTAGAAGACTGCAGGTGATTTGCACTCCAATGGCCCATGGCGTGTTGGCATTGCTGCCTCCTCTGGGCTTGTTGGCTGGGTCCTGTGCTAATTTCTCTGTTCCACTCACCCCCAGCTGCTATCTTCAGTTCTCTCTTAAGTTAATTTTATTTATTTATACAACCACCAGCCACACTTGACTGCAACTTTCTGGGGTGGCACCCCCTTATGGCAACGGATGGTAGGTGTAGAAAGAGGAAGTACGTGGAGCTGGTGGGGTGAGGTTTATTACGCAACAGTAATAAAACGTTCACAGATTTTACTGGAAGTTTGCTTGTTCTGTAATTTATGGCACCCGCACAGAGTGTGCTGTGCAAAAGGCTGGCTTTGTATCTAGGATCATAGAATTATAAGCACAGAAGGAGGCCATTCGGCTCATTGTGCCTGTGCGGCTCTTTGAAAGAGCTACCCAAATTAATCTCACTTACCTGCTCTCTCTCCATAGCCTTGGAAATTTGTCCTCCCCAAATATCTACCCACTCCTCCCTTGAAAAATGTTATTGAATCTGCTACCACCACCCTTTTAGGCGACACATTCCAGATCCGAACAACTGATGTCTCGTTTGGCCTATACTAGAAGATACAAGCTGTTGAAACGCTGTGTCTGTGTTACTGTTGCAGTCTCCCCGCTGTCTGTGTCTGTGTCACCAGTAGAAACTCCCTTCGCTTTCCAAATATTGTCAACTGGTTTCAAGTCGTATCATAATTTCGTAATGCTACGATAGTGGCTTTCAAAAGGGAACTTGAAAAGGAAAATTTGTGAGGCTATGGAGTAAGAGTGGAGGAGTGGGACTAGTTGGATGGCTCTTTCAAAGAGCCGGCACAGCACGATGGGCTGAATGGCCTGTTTCTGCGTTGTAAGATTCCTTGATTCTACATCCACCCAAACAAGCAGAAAGGACTTTGGTTTAAAATCTCATCCAAAGTGATGGTAGCTCTGCATTGAAGTGAAGTGTCAGCCAAACTATGAGCTCAGTGTTCCAACGTGGGTCTTGAACCCACAACCTTCTGACCCAGAGATCAGAGGACTGCCAACCGAGCCAGGCTGACACACACAGGGATTTCGATTCACCGTGGAATTCCTTTGGAAGTTCAGTTCAGGAAATTTCATTCTCAATCTGTCTGAGGGACAAGGAAGATTCAAGCAAAGAGTGGGGAGGAGGGTGGGAATGCGAACTCAGGAGAGGTGAAGATGGATTTGTGAACTAAACCAGGGGCTTACGAAAGGGAACAGGCTCGTGTTGGCCTTTGGGTTTATATTGTAGATGCTGTGTGTTTAGTGTCTGCTGATTATTGTATGTCATATCTGGTTGCAAATAAAGATGAGGAATGTCGGATTCTTCCGAGTCGGCAAAGGTTCAAAGAACAAAATCTGACCATTTCCTGAACCAGCGGTCGGATTATTGTAATAATAATAGTAATAATAATGATGACTGATGCTTGATTTCTATCGCGGCTTATCACGTCTCTTGAGACTCTCAAAGCGCTTCACAGAATATACTGTAAAGTGATTGACTGTATATTTTTATGATTCGTCATCTGTGAATTTCACAAGCCAGAAGTCGCGATTAATGGCGTATTGGGACAAATTCAGTTTGCAGATATCACAAATTAACCTCAATGTTCCAGTCAGTCGTTAAGCGCTCCGAGATGCTGTCCACATGAAAGGTGCTATATAAATACAAGTTGTTGTTGTCTCTCAGTTCAGTTTTATTGATTTACAGTTGCAGAATGGACCCAGTAATTCTGAGCTTCCAGGACAGCTTACTGCGACGTTCTGACTTCTCCCTGCTCAACCCACCCAACTGGCTCAATGACCATGTCATCAGCTTTGCCTTTGAGTACTTCTCGGCAGAAGAGTACAAGGAGCTGTCTAACAGTGTCTGCTTTATCAGTCCAGAAGTTACTCAGTTCATTAAATGCACGAGTAGTCAGGAGGAGCTGGCCATCTTTTTGGAGCCGCTAACCTTGGTCAGGAAAAGCCTGGTCTTTCTGGCCGTCAATGACAACGCAATGCAGGTGGCCGGGGGAACCCATTGGAGCTTACTTGTCTACAGTAGATCCAGGAACTGCTTCAGTCACTACGATTCCTGCCACAGCATGAACTCAAAGCACGCCCGGCAGATCGCGGGAAAGCTGCAACCCTTCCTGGGGACCAGGTCTGAAGTGCCTTTTGTGGAGGAGTCAGCACCGGTACAGCAAA